TAGAAATTGATTCTTTTTGGCTCGGGAGTTTGCTCAAATTCACTTGCCTAGCCCTGCCCGGCAAAACTTCTGCCGGCGCCTGGTCGGCGCGCGGCGACGTTGGGCTAGATATTTTTTTTGTTGGGGGCTAGATAATATTTGAGGATTATTTCTCCAGCGGACTAACCAGTTGTGGACCACCGTGTGCGCGGGAGAATTTGAGGGCAGTCTCCATGGGATTGCAATCGGCAGGTTTTTCGTTTCGGTCCAGGAGTTCGCTCAAACTCGCCGGCATCGCATGGGGTGGCAAAGTTCCTGCTGGCGCCTTGTCGGCGTGCGCTGCGACGTGGGATTAATTAATTTCCCTCTAGGGCTGGGTGGGCTGGATAATGTTTGTGGTTTTTTATTCCTCCAGCGGACCAAGCCGCTGTGGGTTACGCTGCGCGCGGGGGGATTTGTAAGCATCCTTTGATTGGGATTGCAATCGAATTTGCTTCGTTCTGATTTGCGTGTTTGCTCCAACCTGCATGCATAGCATTGCCGGCGGAACTCCGGCTGGCGCCTGGTCGGCGCGCACGGCGACATTGGATTCGTGTCCCTCTAGTGTTGGGCGGGCTGGATCATGTTTGGGGGTTCTTTCTCCAGCAGAGTAACCCGCTGTGGGCCGTCCTGCGCGCGGGGGTTTTGATTCGGGAGTTTTCTCCTATTGGCCTGCCTGCTCCTGCTCGCAGAACTCCTTCTTACGCCTGGTCGGCGCCGGTCGCGCGTTGGGACTAGTTTCCCTTGATTGCTGGGTGGGCTGGATAATGTTCGCGGTTTCTTTCCCCCGCGGCAGCATGCGCCCCGGGCTCCCCTGCGCTGGCCCTGGCAGGGGGGGTGGGAGGAAGGAAGGGCGGAGGAGGGGGAGGAGGAGGAGGAGGAGGAGGAGGGGGTTGGACGAGGCGGAACGAGTGGGAGGAACCTGACCGGACAAGAACGTGAAGCGTCGCTTTTGTCCATTAGGTATGTGGCGTATGTTTTTTTGGATATCTGCCGCGCAGATATGTCGTGGCTTGCCTGCGTTTGCGCGTGCGTGTGCGTACGTGGAATATGTGCACGTGTGTCCGTGCGTGGTGGTTTGCGGCACTGTTGTGTTATGCCGTGCTCGGCCGTGCTCCTGCGGTCTGCGTCAAAGTATGTGGCCTCTTTGTGTGTGTGTGCGTGTGTGTGTGTGTGTGTGTGTGTGTCTATGTGTCTGTGTGTCTGTGTGTGTGCGTGTGCCTGTGCGTGTGCGTGTGCCTGTGTGCCTGCGTGCATGTGCCTATGTGCGTGTGCCTGCGGGTGCGGCTGTGCGAATCGATGTTCTATGTACTCTGCCGTGCTCCTGCGTGTTCTGCCGTGCTCCTGTGTATTCTGCCATGGTCCTGCTCTGCCGCGCTCGTATGTGTTCTGCCGTGCTCCTAGGTGTTCTGCCTTGCTCTTGCGTGTTCAGCCGTTTTGCTGCTTGTTCTGCCGTGCCCCTATGTGCTTTGTGTGATCTGCCGCGCTCTTGTATGTTTTGCTATGCTCCTGTGTGTTCTGCCGTGCTCCTATGTGTTCTGCCGTGCTCCTGTGTGTTCTGCCGCGCTCCTGCTAGTTCTGCCGTGCTCCTATGCGATTTGTGCGTTCTGCCGTGCTCCTGTGTGTTCTGCCATGCTCCTGCGTGGTCTGCCGCGCTTCTGCTTGTTCTGCCGTGCTCTGCCGTGCTCCTCCTGCTCCTGTGTGTTCTTCCGTGCTCCTGTGTGTTCTGCCGTGCTCCTGTGTGTTCTGCCGTGTTCCTGTGTGTTCTGTGTGTTCTGCCGTGCACCTGCGTGTTTTCCCGCGCTCCTGTGTGTTCTGCCGTGCTTCAATGTATGCTCCTCGTGCTCCTGAGTGTTCTGCCGTGCACCTGCGTGTTCTGCTGTGCTCCTGTTTGTTCAGCCGTCGCCCGCCCGCGCCCTGTCTCCCCAAGTAGTGCGTCGAGCGCCCCGCCTAGCTCTTAACCGGAAGAGGCCCGCTCTCGACCCGCCGACCAAAAAAGTTTGTTCCGCCGTGCTCCCGTGTGTTCTGCGTGTTCTGCCGTGCTCCCGTGTGTTCTGCCGTGCTCCTGTGCGTTCTGCGTGCTCTCGCGCGTTTTGCCATGCTCTTGCGCGTTTGGGTGCCGTGATCCTGCCCGGTCTCTGAAGAGGTCTCGGGCAAGCAGCTCAGTTTCAACACGCATGGTCTTGAATCAGCCTTCTCAGCATCTCATGTCTTCGGGGATGTCTCAGGCGATATATCCATTTCCATAACGTTTGTTAAACTTCCGTTTTTTATTCTCTTGTGGATGTTTCGGGCGGAATGCTTGTGTTTGTGAAAGACGGTGTTGCGAACGTCTCATGATGGTGAGGATGTCTCGAGCTAAATGCTAAATCTGAGGGGGATAGGGAGGGCAACGGTTGGCTTTTGACGCCCATGGGCTCCGCTGCGCCCTCTCAGGAGCAGGGGGGCGGCAAAGAAGAAGACGAGGGACCGAGAGAGGATGGTGTCTCCTCCCCTCCCTCACACAGCAAACCGAGGTCACCGAGCGGGCTGCACTTATAAGTACCTACGAGAGAGACAGACGAGCCTCACGCGCTCAAGGTACCACCGAAAGGGCGAGGGAGGGGGAAGAGCAGGGACGAGAGCGACGTGCCCAACCCAGCTCCTGCTTGCTCCACCTTGGTGGACAGGCCACGGTGCATGAGGGGAAGGGAAGGGGCGCCCATAACATCATTACTTAAGCATCCTCCCATGCTCCCCCAAACCCGAAACTCCTCTGGGCGCCTCCCGATTCGCACCGATCTCCAGTCTCCATTTTACCAATGGCAATGGCGAAACTCGCTGGCTCGGGGGGAGGGAGCAAGCGGATCCTCCGAGCTCCTCTTCCTATCCTGATAAGTCCTCCCCTCCACCGCCGCCTCCTAGAAGGGAGGGAGACGGGGGATGGAAAGGATGAAGAGGACAATCCATCTTTTTGAGCACTGCGCGGCTGTGAGGCGCGTGCCCGCGGAGCTCTGCTGCTTCGACCACATGTTGCGGCCCCTCCTTCCTTGGCACACCGCCCAACCACCCAACATAACACTCCCTCCTCCCGACAAACGTGGCACACTGAGGGTGCCACCCCTGATGGGCTGCAGGTGGGAGGCAGGATGATGGGGCAGACGGGGGAATGCTTGGAAATGATATCGGATATAAGCATGTGGCTCTGGCCAGTACTCTGGCCTGCTATTCATATCTGATTGGCACCACTGCTAACTCATACAACGCACTGGGGATGCTCGTGTCGCATGCTGCCCATGCCAAGACGTGCCATGATAGCGAGAGATCTGCTACGAGAGACAACTAGCGCCCAACTCTTCTGCGGCGGGCGTCTGATTTGGATCTGCGTGCACGCTCTTCACACAACATTGACGAATTTCCGTGGCGCCTCAGCCGATTGCAAGCAACACACCCGTGCGTGAACATGCTGCTGCAAATCTTTAGCTGCTCCTCCTCCTGGTCATTGCGCACGGTGTAGCCGTGAGTTCCTGGATTCGTCGGCTCCTCGAACTCTGCATCGTGTGTATTTTCTTCTGCGCTGTAATGCCCCGCCTGCTGCATTATGCCGTCAGACACCGCGTGGTCGGCCGACTCCTCTCAAGTGTGGTTCCACCTGAAACCTTAAAACTGATAAGGTCTGCGCTAAGATCTGACAGCATGTTCTGATGGGCCGCTGTTTGCTCCATTGAACTCTGGGACCAAACTGGCTCCAGATCCTCCGTCTGTGTGGCCTGGTCATACAGGCACTCGGCGAAGGAGCTGGTGAGGCGCATCTTGAGGCCTTCGGACTGCTTTTGGCTGCCCCTCTTCATGCCGTCCTGCTCCCTGCTCTGCCTCATTCTGCTTACCGTTCAAGGCGCTGTCGTTGACCTCGATGCTGGGCGCTGGGCCTCTGTGCCGACGCCCTCCCCACTGCCTCCTCTTCGCCTCGGCGGGAGCCGCGGGGAGTGCATCGGCTCCGCCGTCTAGATCCACATGGGGGCCTGTGTTGCGGTAGGCTGTCTTCCCCGAAGTGGGGTTCGCCCCCGCAACCTTCTCGGTGAGGAGGAGCCGCACGATGTCCAGGCGCGAGTCGACCTCCTCCGTGATAGCATCGTATTCTGCGGCCAGCACCCCTGCCAGGCGCCCCCGTAGCGCCGATGCTGTGGCAGCCACCGTTTGCCTTGATGCCTCCGCCTCCGCCACTGCTCGCAGCAAGGCCTGAGCCACTTCCTTGGCGCAGGCAGCAACGAAAGACCGTGCCACTCAAGCTTCCAAGCACATCAAAACAGAGGTACGTTTCGGTATCGGACACAGCTTGAGCCAAACTGGCTACGGACTCCTCTTCTCCCCCTCCTTCTCTCCCTCCCTCTCTCCGCCCTCCTTCTCATCCTCCTCCGACTTCCCATCCTCATCATTCTCATCTTCCTGGCTCCCACGAGGAAGACGGGGGATGACGAGGGAAGGGTGAGAAAAGATGAAGGGATCTCCAACCTCAACTGAGCGACGCAGAGAGACGGAGTCGGCTGCGACGATGTTCGCAAGTTGGGCCAAAAGGCCGCGCGCAAGCGCCCTGGTTTCCAGCGTGGCGTGCCGCGCTGGCGGCCCGCGGAAGCCGCGGCGTAAGGTCGCTACAGTCGGGGCCCTGAATAAGGAACCCTTTTCGTTGGGGAGGGGCTCTGTGTTCCTTGATTGTTCTGCAGTTTGCCTTCGGTTTTGACGAGGTTTCTCGTGGGAACTCGAAGTTCCACTTATGGGAGAAAGGGGCCTCGTTCCTCCTTCAGGGTTCCTCAGGTCAAGGCCCCGACTGCATGGCATGCTGCGGAAGACAAGTCTTTTGCGTCTCTCAGCTGCCCCTGGAATCGAGTCTCGCTTCAGCCTCTCTTAGCAGGAGGACTCTCCGCGCCCGTGTGCCCGCTTCGAGGCTCGGCCCATCGTTCTCCGGCCTCTCGCCTGCTGCCCCGGGCCTCCCCGCCCAGTCCCAGGAGCACGTGCGGAACGCCTACATGGTGCTCCTCCGAGAGCCCGTTCTACTGTCCGTTGCGATTGCGGGTGTGACCAGAGTGGCGGGTGGGAGGGGGGAGCGGGAGCCCGTCGCGTCACGATTCGCGCTGGCGCCGTCTGGGAATGCCCATGAGTGGCTCATCCCAGACGGCGCCAGCGCGAATCGGGACGTTACCAGGGGGGGGGAGTTGGGGGGGGGGGCGGGGCTGGTCACGGGTGTTCTAGCGAATGTCGAAGAACGGGCTCCGGCCTGCTCGCAGCCCTGGGGGAGGCACGTGACGATGATGGCATCCCGCCCCCCGCCCCCTCAGAGCTCCGCCCCCTCCCCTCTCTTGTCATTTCTCCTCTCCTCTTCTCCCTTTCCCTCCCTCCCCCCTCTCGCCATCCCGACCTCCCCTCCCCATTCAACGCCCCCATCGCCCTCCACATGGCTGTGGTGGTTGTGGTGGACGCTTGTCTACATTTTGGTGGACGCTTTGCTTGTCTGCGCATTCCGTGCTGAAACGGTGTGGTTCATTCTTTTGAGCACGCGTTGGCGGAATTGGCAGGGCCGTCACCGATTCGATTCGATGTGATTCGAGTCGCCGGCTGGGGCCGTGAGTCCGATTCGACTCGACTCGATCCGGTTCGATCCACCAGCATCAGCCAGGGCCAGCACGAGCCAGACGCGGCGATCCGACTGCTCGATTCGCTGGCGATTTTCTGGCGATCCGATCAATTTTCGATCCTTCTGGGGCGGGGGGTTGGGCCGGCTCAGGCCCCCCGTTCCCGCCCAGCGCGCGCGGGGGCTCAGGCGAGGGCTGGGTTGTCCTGCGACCCCTGTCCCGCGTGGCGCCCAGTGCCTCCTGGGGTGGATCGCTAGTACCTTTCCCGTCCACCATCAATGCAGCAGTGGAGCATGCGGCTGGCGTTTGAGAGATGGCGTGCTGTGCGGCGCCGTCCTTGTTGGGGATGTCGTGGACCGAAGAAGCCCTGACAGGGAAAGCGTGCTATTCGGAGATTGATGTTGCACGCTATCTTTCCAACGCCAACCGTGCCCATCGGTCGTTGAAGTTAGGTATTTGTGGATTCCCAGATTCAAGTCTAATTCAGGAGCCTTCTGACTTCAATGATTGATTGGCTTTCCCTCCTCATTCTCCAAGGGGCGATCGGGAAGCTCACTCTGCTTTCAATGCCGTCCCAGTTCTCGTCTCTGCTCACTTCTTCCGGCCGAGAGGTGTCCGAATCCCCATCGTCCACATATAACGGTGCTACGGGTCAGACCTCGGCCCGTCCTTCGGCGCGCAAAGATGGCAGCGCGCTGCCAGGTCGAGTCCCGAGCTTCCCCTCCCGAGCTTCCCCGCCAGAGGGCCACACAGATCTTGGAGCAGTGGAAGAGTCACTGCTTTGGAGCACCAGGGACCAAGTCAACGAGTATTGAGTAAACCATGTTGTCTGGGTATCAGATCAAGCACAGTTGACTTATCGTTGTCTCTGAAGCGCTATAGACCAAACACATTCCAGTGCAATTCTTGTTTTGCAGTTTTCACGGCCCCGAGCCATCGAGGCAACAGTGGACATCAAATGCGTTGGTTTGGGTTTCCCTCCTGCTTCATGGCAGGGGGCCTTCGGAGGGGGGAAATAGAGGAGGATGACGATGATGACAAATATGAGGAGATCGGAAGAACACGAGGATCCTTGCGATTACCGTCCGCGACGTGACGACGCTCCTGGGACAACTTAGTCTGCTACTGAATGGCACAGTACCCACAGGCGACACATAACTAAACCTTCAACCCAGCGTGATATTTAATCGAATGTGCCTTAGGCGCCAATTCCTCCAGACGTGTGCAAATGCCGCCCGTGGGGGGGTTCCCACACGACGCCTCCCACATTGGTTGAAGCGAAGCACGGGAAGTTCAGCCCCCCCCCTTTTGGTCGAGGGATATCGACCCTGCTTCCGCAATAGCGTCCATCCTCATGTAGGACACGCAGGGACTTGAAATCGCTACCGATCATTGGAGCGGGGGGGGCAAGGGCCAGGGTATTTTAGTCGGGGTCTTTGGCCCCTGACATTCTTCCTCAGCCTGAAGCGTCTCGAAGGTACCTGGTAGAGCCCTCATCCTAATCCGGTCGGCCATACTCTCGACCTGGAAGCACAGTCACAGTCTTGGGAGTCTCCTACCAAATGTGCAGCAGCAGGACTTGCTAACGTATCGGTACCAACATTCCCTAACCCGAGGGAGACAGGGACTTTGACTTTGATTATGCACGATCTGACCAGTGACACGGAGGCTTGCCGATTTTCTTCTCGGCACACGTCCAGTCAAACACCAAAGACCAGCGTTCCCTTCCAAGGTGTTCGAGGGCTGACCCGAGTACCAGCTTAAACACACGGCATTATTGCTTGTGACAAAGACCATGTGCCCGAAAATGCCGCTCACGGCAACGTGCAGAGCATGCAATTCTCTTTCTGCCGAGTGGTGCTGGAGCGGAGCAAATGCACGGAGTTACATGGCGTTCGCGTGCCCATGGCCATTTTGGTCTCGGGCCCCGCTTTCGAGCTCACCTCTGTGCTCTCAGGAGCGCAAGTTTTCTCTCCCTTTCAGGCACTACCGCAGCATCTGGGGCGATGAGCTGGTTCGGCGATGTCGAACCCGCGGCTGCGGCGGCCTCGGCGTTGGGGGGTTGCCCAGACGGCGCTGCGACCGAATGCGCGCTCTCAGAGCGCGCGCAGCAGACACCTCGTCCCCTTCTGGTTTCTTCGATCTCGGACATGGTCGGTTTCGACCCGATCCTGATTGGATCGTTTGTGGAGCAGCTCGGGGGCGCGCTCTCCCGTCTCTCGATCGACGATCTGCTGTCGACGTCCATTCCTGGAGCTGTCCACGGCTTTGGGCGGGACAGTAGTCGACAATGCGCCCTTAGAGGCGCTCCAAAAGTCCATGCTGCGGCGTTTCCTCCGGAAGATCGCAGAGATCGGCCGCGTGCCCTCGCCGGACTTCGGCGCGCTGGGCGGTCCACCGCAAGCGCCGACGCGCGCGGCGGCCAAGGCGCCGCCGCCCGTGCCAGTGGCGCGGAAGCGTAAGCTGACCGCCCGCGTCGACCAGGCGGATGACGAAGACGTCGAGCTCCTTCCAGCGCCGCGCATCGCGGCGTTGCGGGCCGACTTGGAGAGGGCCCACGGCGGGGGGGCCTGCGAGCGGAGACGCGACGGGGGACCAGCCTTCGGCGCTGGCCGCCAAGCTCGCAGAAGACATGGCCCCGTGCGTCGACGTGGCCGTGCGGGGGCCATCCGGCCGACGTCAACAGCGGCTGCTACGTTTCACCGCCCAGGTTTTCGTCGGAGGGGAGCTGGTCACTCGGCGGCCCTGGGGGCCTTCCATTGTCGACACCTGGCGGGCGTGCTGGCGGGTCTTCAGGACGGCGATGCTCGCCCTGATGGCTTCTCTGCCAGGGCCCGTGGACGAGTGCGAGGAGGGCATCCGCCTTCTCCGCAGCGCCTTCCCCGAGTAGTGGGGCATCATCTCGCAGGCCGACGACGAGATGCGAGCGGAGCGCTGGGGGCGCGTCCGGCGCCAGACAGAGGCCCGCGTCGCCAACGGGTGCTACGCGGGCTCGTTCGACGATGTCCGCCCCATGGGAGTCTGTCATCAGGGATTCGGCCAAGTCTGGGACTAGCCCCCGTGCCTCTTGGAGGTGCGAGAGCGTGGACAAGCTGCGCCTCCTCGCCTCCCGTCGGGGCGCCGCGGGCTGGCGGCGGCGGCGGTGGGCGGCGGCAGCGGCGGCGGCCCGCCGCTGACGCCCGCTCCGGCGGTGGCCGCTGGCAGGGAGAGGAGGGAAGGATGACAAGAAGAAGCGGCCCTTGGCAGGGGTCGAGCGTCGCAAGGGCGGGCGCTATGCGTCCGCGCCGCCGACGGCTCTCAGCTCTACTTCAGCTGGGGCCGGTCGGACAGGGGCTGCGCGGACGACCGTTGCCCCCGGGGCCGCGCTCGCAGCTGCGAGTGGTGCTTGGGTTCGCATCGGGCCATCGCTCCGGAGTGCCCGGCGAAGCCGCGCGGCTGGGTGCCGTCGCCGCCCGTGCGTGCGCGAGCCGCCCAGCGCGGCCTTCCGGCGCCCCGCGCCAATGGGGAGGGCGCGGCCCCGCCTCCGAAGGTCGCCAGGATGGCGCGGGGGGCATCGGGGGCCGCTCAGGACACGACGCCAAACTCGCGGGCTCTCCGGTCAACCCCAGTGGCGGCCGCGGCGCCGCCCCCAGGGGCGCGCCCATCGGTGGGGCAGGCAGCCCCGGCGGCTTTGGCAACGCCTCCAGAGACAGGCCCACCGGCCCCGCCCGCCGCCATGGCGGCCCGCTGGGCCTCCGCGGCCGCGGCGGCCGCAGCGGCGCTGGGGCTCGCGGAGGAGGCGCCCGAGACCGCCGCGGGCGCGACGCCCAGTCCGCGCCAGGCGCTGCCGAGTCGGCGACGCTCCGGCGGCTCGGGGCCTCGCTTGCGGAGGCGTAGCGGCGGCTAGCTGCAGCTCCTGCCTCGGCCCCCCGCCGCCCCGCGCCCGCGCGGACAGCGAATTGGGCGAAGGGGGCCGGCGAAGGAGGGCCGTCGAGAGACCAGGGCCTCGCGCTGGACACTTGAGAGAAGGCCCACTTCGAAGCGCTGTGCGAGTTCGGGGGCCCTTCGCCGGCGTGCCGCCGCGCCTCCCGCGGCGCGAACCCAGCGGGCGCGCGGGGCCAGCTGCGTCAGGAAGTCGCGGCGTGCAGGGCCGGGCTGGGGAACGCGGCCGCGGCGATCGCTTCGGGGTCGGGCCCCCAGCGCGCGACGGGCCGAGTCAGGCTCGCCCTTCGGGGGGCCCCGTCCGAGGGCGCCAGTTTGACTGGGCTCGCTGGCTGCTGCGGGGGCGCCCGCGCGCGCCCGCCGCCGCCCCTCGCTGCCGCGGCAGCGCTGCGGGCGGAGGTGGCCTGCGCGCTCGCAGTCGGGCCCGGCGGCGAGCTCCGCCACTGCCCAGCTTCGAACGTGCGGTTCCGCTTGGCCCCGCAAATCACCTCGCTCGCCGGGGAGGCGGATCGGGGAGGCGGATCGGGAGGTCGGGAGGTGGCTGGAGGAGGGCGCCCCCACGGACATCTCCCGCGCGGTGGTGCCGGGCGGACTGTTCCCCCTGGCTGAGTCCTCCAGCGCGTTGGGCCCCTGTGACCTTGGCGCTGGCGCCCGCGCGTTCTCGGCCAACCGCCCGTCCTGTCCGACATGCGCGGGGAGGTGCATGGAGGCCCTATCCTTGGACTTGATCCGCGGCTACCTCGGGTCGGGCTACGGTGAGACCTTCGCCGCGGCGGCAGCCGCCGAGGCCAAGTTCGGGCGCGCTTTCTCCATTCCGCTCGGCAATGTCCGGCGCCAGAAGCGGGGCGGGGCCTTCGAGAACAGGATCATGCAGGACCTGATGGCCAATGGGATGAACCAGGCGTCTACGACGCGCGAGCGCGTCGCGCTGCCGAGGGGGGTCGACCCGCTTCGCTAGGGCATCGCGTAGGCACGCCCACTCGGGTTCATCTGGTCGGTGTCCTCGTGCTGGATTTTTTTTTCGACGCTTTCGTGTGCATCCCCACTGCGCGAGAGCGAGAGGCGGTTTGACGTCGCGGTCCTCGAGGATCCCCCCTTGGCAGGACATGGCCGCGTGATCGTCTGGCGGGCCCTGGGCTTCGGGGGAAAGGCCAACCTGCTCGTGCGCGGCAGGGTCGGGTCATTCCTGGCCCGTTCCGCAGAGGCCGTGCTGCTGGAGTCCGAGGGCCAGCTGCAGATCTGCGCCGACGACCCGGCGATTACTCTCGCGGGCTCCGACGAGAGCATTCATTGCAATTTGGACACGGCCCCACGGTGGTGGCTCGCTTTCGGCCTGGGGCTGGCAGGGCGCAAAGGAATTATCGTTTTGGGTGCCCATGTCTGGATCGGCATCCTGTTCGAGTTGCGCGGCACCGTGGCCTGCATGACCCTGCCGCCAGAGTTTTTGAAGGCGACGGCCGAAATCGTGGGTGCGTTCTGCGGGGGGTCCGGCACGGCTCCCCTCAGTCTGGCGCGCGCGGCCGCAGGCAGGGTGTCGCGCGTTGCTCAGGTCGTGCCGGAGGCGCACCCCTTTGCTGCAGCCTTCTGGGCGGCCCTGGTGGCGGCAGAGCAGGCGGCGGCGTCGGCGCGGCCAGAGGCGCCGCCAGGGCGCGTCGCGATCAATTCGCCGTTTCGCCGCGGCCGCGGCATGGATGCGGGCGCTCATCAGAGGCGCCGTTCTGCCCCTCGCCCGCGAGGTGCACCGCCGGCGCGGTCTCGCATCTACTGTCAGAGGCCAACGAGTTAGCGGGCGCTCTCTCGAGATTGGCGGCAACGCCCCCGGCCACTTTTCCATCGGCGTTGCGGGATGCGCCAGCCGCTCGCGCGCCCGAGCTCGACTTGATCTGGCAGGCCTTGTTGGGGGACCCGCATCCGGCAACTTGTCTTTGAACGAGGTCGCGCGCGTGGCGTCGGGTTTTCCATGCTGTCGCCGAGCTCGAGGGCGCGGCGAGGCTGTCGAGCGCCGCGACTTATAACCGAGGGGAGCGTTTAGAAATTGCGCCGAGGAAAAGTTGACCTCGGGTCCATTCCTCGCAGGCCTCCCAGACAACAGTGCCCCGAATTTCCCCCCAGCCGGCGCGGGCCCCCCCCTGTTCTCGGGCCGCGCCGACATCGGGGGGCGGCCGCGCCGGCGGTCGTCGGGGGCTGCCTTGCGAGGCGCCCCGGCTCCCTTGGCGAGTTGCCACGGGCCATGGGGGGCCTTCCTAGGAGCCTCGGGCCTATTAAAAATGTGGTCTTTTGAAGTGGATGGTCTTGGCCTCCTGGGGCCCCGCCGGGGGCTTCCCGGGTCTTAGGGTGACCCCCTCCCCTGGGCCGGCGGGGCGCGGAATGCTCCGCGCGCTTCTCTGCTGAGTTTCCGAAAACTCGGCAGAAAACCGGCTGGGACTTTCGTCGGCGAAACTGCGCCGCGGGGCCGCCGCTGCGGAGCGCCCCGGGGCCGCGCCCTCGGGCCGCGCCAACGGCGCGAGGCGGCCGCGCCGACGGCGGGGGGCGGCGGGATGCAGCTCCCCCCCCATCCCCCCCCCTTCCCTCCCGCACCCCCCCCTCCTCCATATTAGGAATGAACTAGATGAAGTGGGGGGGGGGGGCTGGGCGGGCCGCGGGGAGAGATCGGCGTATTTCGCCGGGCTCGTCCCAGGTTTGTGCGGCCATCGGGGGGCGTCGGCGCTTCTCGCCAGCGGCCAGCTTTCCGGCTTGGCTGGCCCAGCCCCGCGTGCATGCGCCTCCCTGGCTAGGTGCCATAGGGGGGGTCGGCGCATCCCGTCATGGTCATTTAATTAAGGTGTCTGCCGGCTCGAACATCCAGCCGTCAGGGCACAGGGCGCGGATGAGGCGCATCCGCCGGCCACGTTCTCACTTGGCTCCGCCCGCCGCCGTTTGTTTTCGACGGGATCGCGGGGCGTTGATGGCGGCCGCTCCCGTGGGGGCCCGAGCGGGGGGCGCGATCGGAAGGGATCTCCCCTCCGCGCTTTCTCGCCCGGGCTTGGGGGCGCGGGAATCGGCGCGCCCCGCGCCGAGGGCAGCCGCGCCTCGCGGGGCTTCGGAGGGCAGGGGGCGACCCCCCTGGCTACCCGCTTCGGCCCGCCTCGGGCCCGGCGCATTCGGGGGCGGGGGCGAGGCTGAAGGCGCATGGTCAGGCGACGTTGAGATCTCGGCCCGGTCGGAGTCGGCGGCTGCTGGCGACCAGAGTGCCACAGTCCGCAGGGCGTTGTCAGGTCTGCGCGCTCCCGCGGGTCCATGCCGGACTTGCGGGAGGGGCGGGCGCGCTGGCACGCCTTGTCGAGTTTCGCTAAGTCGGTATGCGCGACGACCTCGAGGAAATTTTTAGCCTCGCGTATCCGTGCTTGTGAGCGCCTCCTGAATTTCTAGAACTTGGAGCTGTGCCCGCTCACTATCCAAAAGGTGGCCGTCCTAGGGGCGAGCCTTAAGCCAGGCAGAAACCGCTCGTCACGGCATTGCCTTTCAGCAGCCGTCGTGGAACCAGTGAGAATGGGGCTGCTGGTCGATTCTGGAATTTGTCTCGCTGTTCAAGACGCCGTCGTGTCCTGCGTGCGGGGCCAGGGGCCAGCGGCGCAGGCGCCCGCCCCCCTGTTCGAGGAACTGCGCCGCCTCCCACGCGGGCGCGAGCCATGGGTGCCAGGGGGCCCAGCAAACCCGCGCTCCCTCATCATCGCGGGCTCGTTGTGGCTGCTCAGGGAGATCGAGCTGTCCGCGACGCGCGCTGCGCTGATCGCGCCGTCCGTCGGGTTCTGGGAGTTCGCTGCAGGTCGCCTGGGACCTTCCTGCGTCGAAGGCCGACCCTTTGGCCCTCGGCGCCAGGCGCGCTCGCAGGTGCTAATGCGGGGCAGGGCGTTTGGCCGCCATCTGCCCTGCGCGCGCGGTGTCCTCGCAAGCCCGGTGGCATCAGGGTGCGCTCCCAGAGCGCTTCGCGTGCGGGTGGCCGGACCTCGATCTCGCGTGCGCGGGCAGGCATGCGCGAAGCAGGCCGGCGCCGCGACCATTCAGCACGCGGCCCGCCTGCTGGGGTTGGAGTTGCATGGGCCCGCTGGCCTGGTTCACTGGATTGGCCACTCGCTTCGCTTCACTGGGGCGCAGGGGCTCGCGGGGGCAGGATTCGATGTCTGAGCGATCCAGCTCTTGGGGCGCTGGGGCGCGGGCGCGGTCCTGCGCTGCACTTGGGAGGCGCCCCGTTGTTTTTGGCAGTTTGGCCGCGCGGGCTTCGGTGGGCTTGCCGCTCGACGAGGTCCATCGGCGCGTGCTGCTGAAGAGGGGTGGCGAACATGGACCTGTTGAGCGGGCGCGCGCCGTCGCGCCTGCAGGGGGAGTGCGTCCAGAGCATGGTGCTCGCCGTTGCGCAGCCGACAGCCTTTGCTGGTAACTCGCCGCCAGTGTTCCCCCCCTCGAGGCCTCCGTCCTCTCCCTGCGCGAAGCCTTCGCGGCGGAGCTGGATGGGGGTCAGGCGCCTCCGTGCCGAAGGCCCCGAGTTCGCGGATAACCCCGAGACTGGCGTCGTCCGCGGGGCCCGGGAGGGATCCGCGCGCATCGCGCCCAGGGGCTGGCGGACTCCCTGCGGATGGGCATTCGGCATCGCCGAACACGCGAGACTCGACTCCGCCGGGAGGCCGCGCGAGCTCTTGTGCGAGAAGTGCATGCTTGGGGATAGAGCGGCGGCGAAGGCAGCATTAGCACGTAGCGCGGCTGCGTGTGACGAGCAGGGCACTTCGGCATAAGGGGTGCCATCGGTGCCATCATCGGCTCGGGCAGGTGCCCGAGCGAAGGCGCGGCCTCCGCCCGTGCCCGCGTGGGGCTCCGCAGGGCGATCCGCGGCATGGGAAAACGAAAGCGCGCGCGTGTGGGGGGGTGCGGGGGCGGGGCGGATGCGCGGAGTCGCGTGGCGCACGCGTGCCCATGGCCATTTTGGTTTTGAGCTTCGCTTTCGAGCTCGCCTCCGTGCTCTCAGAAGCGCAAGTTTCCTCCCCGCCCGCCGCCTTGTCAATCGCATTTCTTGCCGGTGAAGTTCCCGACCTGTTGAATTCAGTGGGCGCGGGGGGGGGCGGGTGCGTGGGGGGCCATCGGTGCCGTCGTCGGCTCGGGCAGGTGCCCGGGCGCAGGCGCGGCCTCCGCCCATGCCCGCGTGGGAGTCCGCAGGGCGATCCGCAGCGTGGGAAAACGAGAGCGCGCACATGTGCGGTTGGTGCGCACTCTCTCTCTTTCTTTCTTTATTTCTTTCTTTCTTTCTCTATCTCACATGTATGTATATATATATACACATATACGTATATATACATAAATGTATCTATACACATTTATGTATAAACGTGTATGTATATATAAATAAACGGGCTGCTGGGATGCCTCTCTAGATTCCGAAATCGGAGTTCTGCCGCGAATGGGCATTGGAGCGCCGACCAACGCGGCGCCGTTGCCGACCTCGACGAGCTCAGACGCGATGCGAGAAAGAAGAATACCTTCATGCGTTCGCTGCAAGAGGACCCCCTTCGGAGGAGCTCCTGAGGATCACCCGCGCCGACCGTGAGCTCGGCCGCGTGAGCAGACCAGTCCCGGCGGGCCAACTCGACCCCGACTCTGGCGTGATCTCGCCCCAGGTCGCCGTCGCGTAGGGCAAGAAACCCAACGGCTCGCCCAGGGTCCGCCCCATCGACGACCTCAGTTGGTCTTGAAGTCAATGAGTTCGGTGGCGAATCATGGGAGTTCTGTGCGTGCCCCCGCAATTCCGTCTTGAGCGTCGGTTAGCGTCCCGAGTCGATGAGTTTGCGCAGGTTTCGCGTCGGTTAGCCTCGACTAGCGCCGATCTAGCGTCGATCAGCGTCGATTTGGCGAAGATGAGCGTCGATTTTCAAGAGCCGACAATCTGGCGCGGGAGGCCCCCGTGAGGTGCCGCCGAAAATGAGCGTGCACGCGCTCGGGTCAAGGCTTTGCACGACGCCACCGACCCCGTGGTCTCGGTGGGCCGGCTGTTCTTGCTGCGGGCAGGCGTCTCGTCCGGCCGTTCTCTTGGAAAACTGGCGTCGGCGCGGCGTGTCGGAGAGTTCCGTTGCGTCCGGGCCGCGGGCTCGCCGCGCACATCGCGTTCTTCGTCAATGGCGTGATCGCGCCCGCGCAGCGCTGGGCGACGCCCTTATGGGGGCGTGGGGGCGGTCTGCAGCTTGGGGCGTCTGGGTCGGTTCTTGGTCCACTGTGTGCGCTCGCTCCTCTTCGTCGTCGCGCGCCAGTGCGTGGGCGATTTTGTCGGGCCCGACTATCCCGAGTACGTCGCGCGCGCGACCGCCTGCGTCGCCAGACTCGTCCGACCAATGCTCGGGCCATCGTCGGTCGCAGACAGGGAGTGGGAGCGCGGCTTGCTCCCGGTCATCTCGCGCCTGTCCGTCGATTGTGACGCCGGGGGTTTGGCGCTGTATCTGGCGCCGGACAAGGTGGCGAAATGGGTTCGCCAGATCCGCGCCGCCCTGCAGACGCCCCTGCTTCGCCGAGAGGACCGATTGCTGGGTGGAGCGGCCGGGGAGCTCGCGGGCGCCCTGTCGTGGGCGGCAGCGAATTCTTGGGATCGCGTCG